GACAAAGATAAAGATAACTGAGGGGAAGCAAAAATAAAAGCAAGAAGCAGAAGCTTATTCCATAGGCTGGAGCCTCCTGCCAAGGCCCCCTGGCTGCCTGGCTGACCCCTTACCTTCTTTCTCTCCTGCAGCCTCTGGTGCTGATCTGGTGGGATTTTGATTTTGCTTACTGCTATTACCCAAACTAGCTACTATTTACCAAAGGCTTCTTTGAGCCAGGCACTAACCTAAATGCTTTCCATCCCCCCCTCCCAACCCTGGGAGGTTAGTGTCATTCCTAACTCCATTTAATAGACAAGGAGACAGAACCTCCCAGGGGTTAATAAATGGCCAAATCACAATCCTGCAAGGGAGTTATCATTATTCCCATTTTACAGATGAAGAAATGGAGGCTCAGAAAGGTTTAGTAACTTATCCAAAGTCACACCATTTCGTTAAAAGAGCTCAAGTCTGTCGGAGGGCAAAGCCCATGTTCTTTCTTACTCTGCATTCCAAATGGAAGTCTCAGGGATTTCACTGCTTGAGCTAAATGATTAAAAAATCTCCCATAGAGATTTCTAGTTCTGCACATCCAAACCAAATAGACGTTAGAAAACAAATACCTGGGGAAGTCCTCAGAATTTGAAAGAAATCTATTAAAGACTGCCCGCAGGACAAACACGACATACATTTGTTTCTTAAACACTTCTGTTAGAATCAACTGTATTTTCTAAAGCTCCAAGAAGATAGGAGACAGAAACCAGTTTTGATTAGTTGATCATAGAAACTCACGAGGGGGATGGATTCTTTCTGGCATTCTATGTAAAGTCACTTTAGCTGCAGCTGTGTCCCTCAGGTATTAGAAGAGAGCAGGGGGCGGACGCGTAGGGGACTGCGGGGTCCCACAGCTCCAGACTGTAGCCTGGAATGGACTCTAAAGATGTTGGAATCCAAGCTCTCATTTCATAAATGGGAAAATGAAAACTCACAGGCTGAGTGACTGCTAGTTAATTGTAGAGCAGAGGCCAGAACTCTGGATTTCCTGATTCTTAAGCCATTGTTCTTTCCATGACAAGAATCAGGTATCACTGTAGAGCATATTCTTTTTTCCTCCTCTTCGGCCTCGGAGAGGGGAAAAAAGAAAAAGGTGAGAAAGCTTGCAGAAGCATTTAAAAAACCAGAACACTAAGAATCAAGTTATCTTATAAAGTGTTGAAGAAGGTAAGTGCAGAGGCTGGAATTAGCCGAGCACAGAAAAAGATAAGGTCTTATCTAAAGCAATTAGAGTAGGGCAATTCAAGGCTTGTGTTACTTGTATTTAGGTGAAAGCTCTGAAACAGCAAGCTTTTTGAAATCCGTGGCCAAATCAGAACCTAGAAAGTGACGACTTCTAGTCTCCAAGTAAACGTTGAATGTGAGATAAAAAGTACTTCAGGTTTTTATACTTAACTTGGTAGGAAAAAGAAAAAAGGAAAAATGACAGGAAACTAGATGTGGGCTGGGGTCATCTGAGTCTACCTCCAGGCCCCAGGAAGTCCAAAGCCTACCCATTTTGTGAATGGTCCCAGGGACTTTTGTTTTTCTGGTCTTCTAGACTTCTGAGATCTTGCTTTCATGTGTAATTGAGAATTTACTGTAGAGATGGAAGGCGGGGTTGACATCCCAGCAACAGCAAATAAATTCAATCAGAATGGATCCTGACCCTGCTCCCCTACCTGTCTGAGCTTCTCTCCACCTGGCTGGCTCCCCCCCCCCCTCCCGCCATGCAGGAGCAGAAACAACAAACTTCCTTTAATCTCCTGCAGAGCAGGTTTTCCCCGCCTCTGAAGTCCAGGTGCCTATAGAATCCAAGCGCTCAAGGTGGCATCCCTCCTCACAAGCTCATCAAGGAGGCTTCCCCAGCCCCTCACCCCCACCCCAGGAGACAGCTCCCTCCTTCCCCTTCCCAAATAGGCTTTGCAGGTCCAACTGTTAAGATTAAAAAAAAAAAATTTTCCCCATGTCTTTATACACGATGGGAAAATTTCTGAAGTTTGATTAAGATAGTAGCACTTGCTATACTGCGGTAGTGTTTCTATTTTTTAATTGCTTTGTTCTGTATGGAATTTTATTATCATAACTAAGTGTAATAGACATTTCTTGATATTTACCTAATTTTAATAAACCGTCTTCAAAATCAGAAAGCATTAGTGATCAGATCTAGGCTTTATTCTATCAGTGATTCCCACCAAAGGTGGGTAAATGAAGCAGCTGTAAAGAGGCAGCTTTAGAACTGAAAGCCTTAAGAGGCAACTAGGTACACTTTTAAGGGGTGGGTCTTGAAAACTCAAGCCTATTAAATAATAGAAAACATCACAAGCTCACTGTTTGGCTTCGAAACTGTTTCCCTAAGCAGGTTTATCTTTTTGGAGGTGTCGCTCATATTTGAAAGCTGTAAGTCATGGTAGGCAAAAAGTGAAGAAGCAGACGGCTCAAGGGATAGTCTCTGTACTCCTCCATGCTTTTTTCTGTTCCAACCCTTCCATTTCATGAAGCTCTGCCTTCTCCAAATATTTTCTGCTTACGGGAGCAAGGAATACTCAGTGTTCAGGTCTCAGGTACCTCTGGGCAGCTTTGTCCGTCTGTCCTTCTTATCCTCACCTCTATCATGTGTTCCCCTGAGTTCTGCCTGCTCACTTGTTTCCCTAGTTCCTCCTGAAACCTTCCTGCGTACAGCTATCTGTGTAATGATGTGAGAACTTTCCATCAGACGAACACAGGGTTCTCTCCATTGCAACTGTACCGGGCTGTGTCCACCACCCTCTCTCTCTACAGTGGCAGTTCTCAGAGTTTTACTGCCTTTTCTCCTTCTGTTCCCTCACTGCATTTCCTCAAAACCCATTTCTTCTTCTCTCAGGTCCCACATCCAGCATTTCCGAGTTTTCACAACCGTCTTGCATCTCTGAGGAGGTTGCTTATTTCCTCTGAGCCACATGGCCCACGGTGGGGGCAAACTGGCACTGCGTGAAGACTGGGCCTGAGCCACTCGCAGCCTCAAGGCCCAACATGGCCAGGCTTGTCCCAGGCATCATTACCAACAGAAAGATCTTAGCACAATTCTGGAGGGTTCAATTATGCCTTATGTTCCTAATCAAAACCGCTAAGCATAATTAGTGATGATAATTAGTGTATTTACATAAAAATACAAGTAGATCCATCCAAGTGCACACTGCATTTTATTAATGGCTTCATTGTTCTCCATCATTGTTTAATTTGCCCCGGTTTCCCTTCCAGCCTTAATGAGCACAACTTTTAAAGTTTAGAAATATAATGAATTTTTTAACTTAAGCAAGCCCTTCTAAGTGTGTGACAGATGGTTAATGTCAAAAGCCCCTGGGGAAGTCTTCTGTTTAGCCTTTGATTTTGTTTTGTGTTTTCAGCCAGAGAAATGTTTGATTGGGCTGATAATTTATAAGCATACATCAACCATCAACTTTTATCGTCCTTTAAATTCCCGGCTATCCCCCAGATTTCTCTGCTACTCCTGGCCTAGAAGAGGCCGGGAAACCAGGCAGAAGCATGCCTAAATGGCCTGTGTGATAAGGCTTATGAAGTTATTTTTCTCAATTAACGGTTTTCACTGACAATTTTACTGCTCTGCTTTAAGCTTCTCCATTCCCTTGGGCATCTGTACATATGTCTGTGATAAGCCTCAACCAGTCCAACAAAATTGGCCCCTCAGAATACAGACTGCTCTATTTTTAAAAAAGCTCAATTTAAAAAAGCTCTTTTTTAAAAAAATGTAACACTTGAAAATACATTGAAACAGAAAGTAATAGAGCTTTAAAACTGAGCTATAAAAGTGATTTATTCATGAGTACGTACTTATGCCTCTCCCAATTGACATCCATTTTATATTAATTTTCCTTAAGTGTGTATCCTCAGCTTCTTTCTAGATTTTTACTACTAAAGTGAACTTTTTATTCCACCCTTATTCCCTTCTACTTTGCTCCAAAGACTCTCCTATGCGCTGAGAGGGATCCACTGGGGGTACAGAACCACAGTTTGGGAACCTCTGCTATGAAATAATAATGCTCCCTAGTCACAGTCACTGACTTTATTAGGTAGTCAATTAGCTATTTTTTAATTAGGGAAAGAAAAGTTCCTCATTCATTTTTTCTGAAGTTACTTGAAATGTATTTATAATCATGCTCCGCTGGTTGCAGGAAAGCCATGGAAAGTACACCTTTTCTCAGGTAAGTGGAACCTTCACTCTATAGGTAAGTAATTTCTTTTTTTTTTCTAAGATATCTATTTATTTGAGAGAGACAGTGAGTGAGAGAGAAAGAGAACATGAGCAGGGGGAGGGAGAGGGAGAAGCAGCCTCCCCACTGAGCAGGGAGCCAGGACCCCGGGATCATGACCTGAGCGGAAGGCAGACGCTCAACCAACCAAACCACCCAGGTGCCCCTATAGGTAAGTAATTTATATAAAGACATTTCTATAGCCCATCCTCCCCCCACCCCAAAAGACTCACAGCAGAAGAAAGAACCCTTGATAACAATGTTCCCTTTATATTGTGTACTTTTCACAGCAGATTCATACACTTCAGTTCATCCAGTTGTTTTTTTTTTTACAGATGAGAAAACAGAGACTTAGAGTCTCATGTGAATAAAAGGTAGCACATAGGGAATATAGTCGCTGATATTATAGTGTTGTGTGGTGACAGATGGGAGCTACACTTGTGGTGAGGCCAGCATAACGTCTAGAGATGTGGAATCATGATGTTGTACACCTGAAATTAATGTAACACTGTGTGTCAACTATACTTAAATAAAAAAAATTTTTTTAAAATAGAGGCTTAGAGAAATTAAATAAAGGATGCCTTCAAGGTCACACAGCTTGTCCGTCAGAGACCAGAATTTAAACCACCACTTGATGATTCTGATTAAAAAAAAAAAATTTCATTTCACAAATAGGATTAGTGACCTAGCAATTTTCATAAATGTTACGGTGCAGAAGCTTTTATAAGCAATACTTACCAGTGACTGTGCTTTCCTTAGCTTAGATCTGTCCTGCAATTTATTTTTCTTATCATGCGATTGTCGACTGAAATCTGGGTTCATTTCATGTCTTTTTCTCCTTCTGTAAATTAGAAATCATTGGAACATTACAAACAATCATTTTAAATTTGCATAGCTATTTGTCTGTTGGACTTGGTTGTTCCTGTGATTTTAAAGGATTGTTTTCACTCAACTGGAAATGTAGCTCACTAGAGAACTGGTTGAATCAACTCCGGCCCATCCACACGGTAGAGCACTATGAGCTGTAAAAAGGAAAGCAGGGTATTATTACATCCAACTGGGGGGTGATCTCCAGCATATTATTGTTATACGAAAAAAAGAAAGGTGAATAAAATGGTATGTGTTGTGTACTACCATTTATTTCAGAAACGGATGTATTTGCTTAAAATTTTGTTAAGTGGAAGGACTATACCATAACCTCTTGGAAAATGGTTATCTATGAGTGGGCTTCCCATTGCAATCCAATCAAGAACAAAGAACAGTATGGAGGGGTAGGAGCAGAAACTAGACTTCTCCAAATACACTTTGCTTTATATATTTGACTTTGGAACCTGCTCAATTTTTCTCAAAATTACAAAATAAGACAAAGGAAGAAAATCCCTAAAATCTAAGAACAAAATGAAAGAAACAATCTCATCTCTGGAGCTGGTGGTATTATTACACACGGAGGGATTACCTCATGGGACTATAAACACAGTAATTTGTCTGAATATCCTTAGTAGAATCTATCCTAAGGACAAAAACACAGGCAAAGAAATCTTAAACTGTTTTTAGTAATCCTATTGTTTGAATTAGTATTAGTATTGGTTTTCTAAAACTATCATATATATTCGGATAAAGTAGGGATCAGCAAACTATACAGCCCAGAGGCCAAGTTGGCCCAATTGTCTTTGTAAATAAAGCTAAATTGGGACATCGTCATGCGTATTGTTTGCGTATTGTCTTTGGCTATTTTCAGGCTACAATGGCAGAGTTGAGCAGTTGTGACAGAAACACGTCCTGTAAAGCCTAACGTATTTTTGTCTGGTGTTCTCCAAAAAAGTTTGCCTGTAGTAATGGATCTAGGCCATGGTCCTCAATAGCCAATAACATCACAAAAAAGGGAGACAACCAGAAATCACGTGCCTCGTGATGGAAGTACATGATCTGATATACTCAAGCCTCTGGATTGGACCACCAGTATGGCCAAGTACAGGAGACAGAGAACATGTTAGGCTGCATGTTGGGAGTGCAATCAGCAAAATTCAGAATGTGAGAATCTCTACAGGATAAATGACCTGATTTCTATAACAAACAAATTGCAAGGGGGGAAGAAAAAGGACAGAGGGTAAGCTTATAGATCCAAAAAATACTTTTTTTTTTTTAAAGATTTTATGTATTTATTTGATAGAGAGAGAGAGCACAAGCAGGAGGGAGAGGGAGAAGCAGACGCCACACTGAGCAGGGAGCCTGATGCAGGACTCCATCCCATGACCCCGGATCATGACCTGAGCAGAAGGCAGATGCTCAACCGACTGAGCCACCCAGGCACCTCTAGATCCAAAAAAGACTTAAGTGATGCATGGACTAAATACAACCCTCCCAGACCTTGTTTGGAACTTGATTAAAAAAGCCAAATGTTTAAAAATATCATTTATGAGACGTTCAAAGATACCTCAAAACTGACTTGATATTTGATTGATTATATTGTGAAATCATCCATTGATTTAGATGTGATATATATATCATACTAGGATTCTTAGAAAGAGTTTATCTTTTAAGGACAGGCATTGATTGAAATATATATGAATAAAATAATATGACATTTATATTTGTCTCCCAAGTGACCTGGGGGAAGGGCGGTGAGGGATAAGTTCATGAGTTCAAAACCATTAATGCTAGCTGATGGTTACAAGCAGTTGTATTCTCTCTACTCTTATATATTTGAATTTCCACTATAAAAACTTTTATTTATTTGTTTGTTTAAAGATTTTATTTATTTTGAGAGACAGAGAAAGCAAGAGAGTGAGCGAGAGCAGGGGGAAGGGCGGGGGGGAGAGAGAATCTTAAGCTGACTCAATGCTGAGCCCAGAGCCCGATGAGGAGACCACGACCCAAGCCAAAATAAAGAGTTGGATTGCTTAACCGAGTCGCCCAGGCACCCCATAAAAATTTTTATTTAAAAAGATCAGCTTTCCCAAACATTTCTTATTGCTTAATTTGTAAAAATTTCCCCCAACTTTTAATTAAGAAGTTTCAAACATACAAAATCGTTGAAAGAATAGCACAGGGTGCCTGGGTGGCTCAGTCGTTAAGCGTCTGCCTTCAGCTCAGGTCATGATCCCAGAGTCCTGGGATCAAGCCGCACATCAGGTTCCCTGCTCAGCGGGAAGCCTGCTTCTCCCTCTCCCACTCCCCCTGCTTGTGTTCCCTCTCTCGCTATCTCTCTCTCTGTCAAATAAATAAACAAAATCTTAAAAAAAAAAAAAAGAAAGAATAGCACAATGATTACCCATAAACTCTCCAACTAGATTCAACATTTTGCTATTTTTGCTTTCTCTCTATATATACATAGATACATATATACATGCACATGCCACATATATATGTATATATGTATTTTTGCCACACCATAGGAAAACAAATTGCAGACACTTCACCCCTAAATATTTCAATACTCATCTCCTAAGATAAAGACATTTGCCTCCCTAACCACATTGGTATCATCATACTTTGGAAAATGAATGGTAGTTCTTTAATATCATTTAATATTCAGGTCATATTCAAATTTCTGCAATTGTCCCAAGAATGCCTTCTATAGTCTTTTTTAAAAAATCAGAATCCTATCTAGATTCACACTGCTTTTGGTTGTTATGTCTCTTATGTCTAGAATATTTTCCCCACTTCTTTTTTCCCCCATGGCACTGACTCTGAAGAGTCCAAGCATCTAGTCTATCTTGGTGAATGTAGCACATGCACTTAAAAAAATGTGTTTGTGGAATTGTCTATTTCTCTTTAAAGCTGTCAATTTTTGTCTTATGTATTTTGAGCCTTTGTAATTAGGTACACATGCATTTGTAATAGTTATATCTCTCTGCTTAGTTAATCCCTGTATCATTATGAAGTGTCCTGCTTTATCTTTGGTAATACTCTTTGTCTTGATGTCTGTTTTATTTGAAATTAATGGTCATTCTAGCCTTCTCATGTTTTTTCTTTGCATGGTACATCTTCTTCCATCACTTCATTTTTTTTTTAAGATTTTATTTATTTATTTATTTGAGAGAGAGAGCATGAGAGAGGGGAGGGTCAGAGGGAGAAGCAGACTCCCCGCTGAGCAGGGAGGACGATGTGGGACTCGATCCCGGGACTCCAGGATCATGACCTGAGCCGAAGGCAGTCGCTTAACCAACTGAGCCACCCAGGCGCCCCATCACTTCATTTTTAAATCTATTTGTGTCTTTAAATTTAAGGTATGTCTCTTATAAAAAGTGTACATTTGGTTTTTGCCTTCTTATCCATTCTGATAATCTCTACCTATTAATTGGGTGTTCAGTACATTAACATTTAATGTAATTATTGCCTTTCACAAACAGTATTTGAGGTCACAGAAAACTCAAGACATTATCACTTTATCTCATGTTAATGTACCATTCATATGCCTGGGTATCTAAGTTTGCCTCTTTCTTATTTACCACAATAGTTCAGACTAAGGGCCACATACAAACTCTTAAATACTATCTTCAGGGATACATTGATCAATACATAGTCAATACACTCACGATGATTCAAAATTCAAGAGTTCAAAAGGATGTACAGTGAAATTTGTCTATCTATCCTTGTCTCTAACTTGCCATTCTCCTCCTTAAGGCAAACAATACATATCAGTTTCTTGTGTATATTCCAGAGATATTTTATAAATATATATATATATTTTTTTTCTTCTCCACCTGTTTTAATATAAATGGTAGTATTTCTTTTAAGCTCTGTTTTGTACCTTGTTTTTTCTGCCCAGTATTTTCTAAATTATAAGCAAACTAATTAGACTTTTTCTGATACAACTAGATGAATTTAAAGTTCATGAAGGGGCGCCTGGGTTGCTCAGTCGTTAAGCGTCTGCCTTTGGCTCAGGTCATGGTCCCAGGGTCCTGGGATCAAGCCCCACATCGGGCTCTCTGCTTGGCTGGAAGCCTGCTTCTCCCTCTCCCACTCCCCCTGCTTGTGTTCCCTCTCTTGCTGTGTCTCTCTCTGTCAAATAAATAAATAAAATCTTTAAAAAAAAAAGTTTATGAATTGCAAGGCTACACTTCTCTCAAAATCAGTTAATGAGTATTGCAAAGCTGGTCAGTCGTGATATAAAAATGAGTAAGGCATGGTCTGCACCCTCCAAGAGCTTGAGTCTTGCCTAATGAGGGATACCACTCTCATCTCACCTCCAAAGGGACTCCAATAGTCCCAAAGATACACATGTAATCTCAATGTCCCCAAGTCTTCAAACTTTCTGGGATTACCCTTTATTAGCCAAATCATATAATTTAAGAAACCATCCTACAAAAGAAGTGCTTACTTACTATATGTCAGGTACTATCATAATCATGTCACATACATGAGGATTACCCAACAGGGATCGTGTGAGTTAGGTATTACCATTATTGCCATTTTACAGGTGCAGAAACCAGGGCACAGAGAAGTTAAGGAACTCCCCAGGATGACAAAACTAGAAGTGTGGGAGTCTGGATTTGAACCCACGCAGTATGGCTCCCCCTCTTAGGCTGCCTTGGTGTTAATCTGTTGAAATATATTCTGAAAACATGGCAGATATATTAAAACCTTCTAAAACCTTTCAAAATTTGTTTCCTTTATTTCTCGTTTATCCTGTACATGCGTATACATGTGCGGATTAACAGGTACATATGTGTATACAGGAGCAGACGTATATTTTTTTACTTTCTCTTCTTTCTGTACTATGGGTGGCACACTGTGAGTGGTCCCTTGACATTTGCTTTTCTCACTTAACAACTTACCCTTTCACTCCTTACCAGTTCACAGAGTTCGTCCTCATTTTTACAGTTGCCTAATACTCCATTGTGTGAATGTACTATACATAGTTTACCTAACAGACACTCTCCATGTAGGAAAATTTAAGTTATTCCCAATATTTTAAAGTCATAAATGAGGGATGCCTGGGTGGCTCAGTCAGTTAAGTGTCTGTCTTTTGCTCAGGTCATGATCCCAGGGTCCTGGAATCAAGACCCGCGTCAGGCTCCCTGCTCTCCCTCTGCCCCTCCTCCCTGCTGTGTTCTCTCTCTCTCAAATAAATAATCTTTTTTAAAAAAGATTTTATTTTTTGAGAGAGAGAGAGAGTGTGTGCGCTTACACACAAGCACACAAGCAAGGGGGAGGGGTAGGGGGAGGGGCAGAGGGAGAAGCAGACTCCCCTCTGAGCAGGGAGCCCAACATAGAGTTCGATCCCAGGACCCTGAGATCAGGACCTGAGCCAAAGGCAGCCACTGAACCAACTGAGCCACCCAGGCATCCCTGCAGATTTGTTTTAATAATGAAATGGGTTAGCAGTTTTGAAATTACTTTCAGAATTTGTAAGTAAATATATACTGTTTATATATATGTGCCTATTATATTATATAGTATACAATTTTTATACAAGTTATATATGTACCTATATAGTTTTGATTATATATTATATGTACATATATAATTTATATAAATAAACATGAGAGCCAGGTTTCTCCTTGTCAGAGAAGGGAGGTGCAGATATGAAAAAGGAAAAGACCAGAATGAACTCTATAGTGCTAGATTGAAATTTGAAGTATTAAATATTAAAAGAAGCTGTAATGTTAAATCATGATAGCTACAATATGCAAACAAATCCTGATGAACAGGGTAAATTTACCAATAATGGTTCATTTACTTTTCAATGACTTTTTACTTCTATGTATTGAAAAGCATTTGTATTTCACAAGAAATGCTTTTTTCCTCTTTTCATATACTTAAGTGCCAGCAAATTGTTTCTAACAAGGAAGAGCATGGAGTTTCTCACCCTTGCCAGATTTGCTCAATGGGGTCACAGTTGTCCAGGTAATTGAAGCGAATGATATCAGTTGGATGCTTGTCAGAAGATCGCCAGGGTGGGAGCTCTTTCTCCCCTGGATGGGTTTTCTTTCTCAAAGAGGAAGAGGACCTGAAAGCTGATGCAGGGGACTGCTTTTCCTCTGCAGAATTGCTTGTAACTGGTTGAACGTTGGCAATGGAAAACCCATCTTTTGGAGGTGTCTGGAAGAAGAAAACTAATTATTTCTGTTCTTAAAACATCGTAATAATTACAACAATAAAACATCATCATACCATCATCATCATCATCATCACCATGACTGCAATGATCATGGTGACAATTAGAGCAGCCACCAACCCAGGAGTCCTTGTATGTGCCTGGTACTGTCTCAGGAAGTTTTCATGCATTATTTTATTTAACCTTCATAATAACTCTAAAAGGTAATAGTTACTACCCCATTTTACAGAAGAGGAAACTGAGGATGGAATAAGCCAATGAACTTGCCCACTACTACCTAAGTGGTTAAGACAGAGGGTCAGAATGTGAATCTAGTACTGTTTTGCTTCAAGTCCTTGTACTAACCCTTTCTATCCTGGACTGCCACCATGCCTACCACACCATTGTATAAGTTTTCCACAAGCGCAGTTAATTGACTCATAAAAACGAACACATTTCAAAAATAGTACTCCAGGCTTAATTATGTGTAGCACGTAGGGACAACTTTGAGTTATACAGAGGTAGACTGTAGATTTTATCAGTTATCAAAATCTTAACTGCTCTCAAAGAATACTTCTGCTTTAATTTCCCAAATGGAAAGTCTATTTTTGTGTGTGAAATTCATAAGGTTTTTATGTGGTTGTAACCTAAGGGAAGTGGTAATGGTATGTTGAGAAGCCATTAAAGGCTTAATTTTTGTTCTTTAAGAGATTAGGGAAGCTTTGTGTGGTAAATTGGTTTGCTTGAATTGTTTGTGATAATTAAGAAATTCCCCCATCCCATCAAGCAGCATCAGTTTCTTATCTGTTTCAACTGTTCTTTGTATATATTTCTGTTGTAATTATGTGGTTGTCTATGTCCTAGGCCACTAGACACGGTTCCTTGAAAGCAGGGTTAGGAACATTATACTCAGCACCTAGCACATAACAGTATTTAATAAATATTTATTAAATTAATAAATGATTGTAGTTTAGTAAATTAAGATGACATTTTATATTTATATAATTGATAGCTCATTATTGGTTTGGTATTCAATATTTTGTTCAGCTCTCATTTAGCATGGACATTCCTTTCATTTCTCTGAGCTTATATTGAACAAAAGCTGTTTTTGCTGAAGAAGGCTTAGTTTAATACTACTGGGAATAAATAATACATGATAATAAGAAGTTTCAGGGGAAAAAATTTAGGCATAAGTGCTAGTAATTATATATAATTAAACATTATCCATTCTGAAAAATAACAAAACGCTTGACACTAACAAAAGAGGATATAATGAAAACTGATGATTTTTCTGTATTAAGTAAACAAAATTTTGTTCACTTCACCTAAAGCCTTTGAGAATTTTTAAAATCATGAATGATGTTGAACTTTGTTAAATGCTTTTGTCTGCATATACTTATATGATCATACATCCTTTCTCTTTTATTCTGTGAATTACATTGGTTAATTTTTTAATGTTATGCCAACCTTACTCTCCATGGATACTTCCTAGTTGGTCATCATGTATTATTCTTTCTTTGTATAGAACTTGATTTAATATGCTAATATTTTTAAAGGATTTTTATGTCTGTGTTCATGAAGGATATTAATCTGTGATTTTGTTTTGTTTTCTTGTAAAGGCCCCATCTGGTTTTGGTATAAGGGTAATGAGTTGGGAAGCATTCCCTTGTCTTCCATTTTATGAAAGTTTATTTAGATTTGGTATTTCTTCCTTAAATGTGTGATAGAATTCACCAAGGAGGGTATCTGGGTCTGGAGTTTTGTGGAAAATTATGAATTTGATTTTTAAGTTGATAAAGATTTATTCATGTTTTCTATTTCCTAATGAGACTGTTTTTGTAACTGTATTTTTGAGAATTGTCCATCTCATCCAGGTGGTTGAATTTAGTGACATGGACTTGTTCATAATATTCTCTCATTAACCTTCTCATGTTTACAGGATCTGTAGTGATGCCCCCTCTTTCATTTCTGTTACTAGTAATTTATGTTTTCTCTTTTTTCCTACATCGGCCTACCTAGAAACTTGGGAATTTTATTTATGTTTTTGCAGAAGCAGCTTTGGTTTCACTGATTTTCTCCATTGTTTGTTCTAATTTCATTGATCTTAGCTCTTTATTACTTCTTCTTTCTATCTACTTTGGGTTCAACTTACTCCTCTTTTTCTAGATGAACTCTTTTTGAAATTATGCTGTTTGGAGTAGATAAAGCATAGCCCGACAGACAGTTATAAAGATCATTCTAGTCCAGTCCTCTCATTTTAAGGTTGGGGAAACTAAAATTAGCCACAACCATTTGCTCATAAAATGCTTTCAAAAGCTCTGCTGGAGCACCTGCCAGGTATAGGGTGTTGAGGGAAAGGGAGCCAGGGAAGGTGCTTGAGTGAAGGTAAATTATGCTCTAATGCAATGGCTGCCTACGTTCACCATCACTGGAGCAACCTCACACGGAATTACCCAAATTACTCAAGTATGCATAGGGCTGACAGTTGACTTTTTAACCTTAGTCACGTGACTTTATTAACATTACTCACATGACTCCTTAGTCTTTCTGACTTAGGTTTATTTATTAAACAGAAAAACTAACTTTTAATATAACAAAGTGTTCCCTAAAGAAATTTAATACAAAGCAAAGAGGTGGCAATTTTCTTGCATCAGAACGATTCATCATTTTAAAATATAGTTATGCACATTTTATAGAAAAGAATTATGGCTGAAGACAAAGCTTTCGAGTCAGTTTCATAAATAATACTCAAAACCTCTTTTCCTTCTACAAGTTGGTTAATCACTTTTCTCTTCTTTGTCCCAGAATGGCCCAAGCTTCAGCTATTGAATGCCATTCCCTGCCCCTAACTGAAAATGAGAGTGAAGAAAAGCCTTATCAAATCTCGAAAAGAAATCATAGTTATGGCAATTTTTAAAATAACTTTTTCCATCACTGCAGTTTAAGTTTCCATTTTAAAAGACATCCTCATGGAGCACACCAATTACTGAAGTCAGAAAGGCTAGTTTTATCACTGCAATTGTAACAGGATTAATTATGCATAGTTTATTACTATACTAAATGTAGATGGATTCTACTTTAAAACAATAAAACTAAACCTAAACGAACAAGCTAGGAGTTGACTATTCATCTTTCAAAAGGATTCCTCATTTTTAAAAGGATTCACTGCAATTTTTTCATAGAATATGATACCCCTGTGGTTTTAAAAATCATTAAAAAATTTAATTTACACATAATTTTTCAGGAACTCATCTATTGTACAAAACGATGCATAGCTCTGCATATGTATAGATCATACCATAAAGAAAAGGCTCATAAAATTTTCCCATGAGTTATCTAATTAACTGTGACTATAAGAATGAACATAAACACTGGTTATAATGCAGAGAAAACAACTAGAAAAATTATTCTTGCATTATTTACTTTTTATCATTATATGTAAATGATTTACATGCTTAGTTTTTAGATTAAAAAGAACTTTAGTATAATCATTATTCCCTTTCAAAATTATGGATTTATTGGAAAACTTTTCTTTATAAATGATATAAAAATAACCTTTAGCTCACCTGGTAGAATCAGAAAATTTGAATTAATAAAGTAGAATTTGATGACCCATTGATAGTAAATACTGCACAATACCCACAGAGTCCCAGTGTCAGAATTGCCTGGTGTGTGAGTCAGATACGGAAATCCAGGAATCCGAACAGAGTGAGCAGCTCCACGGTCCTAACCTCCTGGGAAACTGCTGGTTTAAGAGTGTCTGATGAGGATTCTCAGTTAACATGGATGTCTTGAAAAAGGCTATTGAGTTCTCAGAAAAGGAGAATTTTGAATAGTGTATTTCCTTTGCTTACTTGCTTAGGTTCCAGATTAAAAAGAACTTTAGTATACTCATTATTCCCCTCCCCAACTTCTTAGTTCTAGAATTCCTTTTTTTTAAAAGATTTTATTTATTTATTTAACAGAGAGAGACAAGGAGAGAGGGAACCCAAGGAGAGGGAATGGGAGAGGGAGAAGCAGGCTTCCCGCTGAGCAGGGAGCCTGATGCAGGCCTCGATCCCAGCACCCTGGGATCAGGATCTGAGCCGAAGGCAGATGCTTAACAACTGAGCCACCCAGGTGCCCCATCCTTTTTTTTTTTTTTAAATTCCAGTTAGCATACAATGTGATATTAGTTTCAGGTGTACAATTTAGTGATTCAACACCTCCATACAACACCCGCTGCTCTGGTGCTCAGTCACAAGTGCCCTCCTTAATCCCCATCACCTGTTTAACCCATTCACTGCCCCCCTTCCGTATTCCTAAATAGCTGATATTTTTGTTTGTTGCTTTTCCCCAAATTTACCTTAGGCTTGGTAACATGAAGTTCTTTTACCATTTGAATGTAGTGCTTCTTCCATATACCCTGCTCAAAGGGAGTTGGAGAGAAATTGATGTACCAGTTAAATCGTAAACATTTGAGCATCCAGAGCTGATCCAGCTCAGTTAAATTCTTCCAGTGCCAGCTCACCTGGAAAAACGATTGGAAAGGAAAAAAAAGCCCTACTCAGTCTGCATACCCATTTTCTCTAGGTCTTCAGCTGTCACCCTAGACCTGAGATAACTTTTTCCTCCAAATCAAAGCTTAAAAAGTTACCTACCTGAAGTGCTCTCTACCCAGGCAGAAGGATTTTCTTTAAATGTTAAATCACACTTAGATTCAGAGTCAACTAATATTTATCAAGTACCTATTAACCACCCCCCTAAGGAGGCAGGTGTAATTATTCCTTTCATGTTGCAAATGAGAGGACTGTGGCTCAGATAGATTTCGGAGCTTCCTAGAAGTTCCTGAAGTTGAAAGTTATATAAGGGTTATAGAAACTCAAATCTGTGTATTGTTTACTCATATTCTGGTACGCTTCCATTTTCTCTCCATTCTTATGATTTAACTAAATAGAAATTTTATAAACAGAAAGCAATTACTGGTATCATCTGGTGTGTCCTACATAGCCTTTAAGATTCCCTAAAGCATACACTCCTTGCTTTGTACATGCCATTCCCCCAGTATTATGGTTAATCTCACACATCCAGCAAACGATGGTGGTGACCCTACTCTGTGCAGCAGTGTTTACAATAACTTACTCCAGATTTTGAACAAGTCTTGCTGAAAACTAGGGTCAAGATCACGTATAAAGTTCAGACTCGGGGTTCTGTGTCTTGGCTATAAGAGTTGCAAAGATGACACCTAACCTTCCAATGCAAATTTCATCCTTGGAAAACTGGTTTCTTTTTCAACATTAATTAAATCATTAATAATTTTTGAGCACACACACACACACAAAAAAAAAAAAGAAAGAAAGAAAGAAGAAAGGGCAGAACACTGTAATATATCTGGCCCTCCCATCCTCCCTCATTCCATCCACCAAGTGCTGAATTCCATTATGTTTAGCATTGTTTTCTGTGCTGAAAAGGAGACATACAGGAGAGGGGAGGGCACAATTACAAGAAATAACAGGTTCAGGAGCTGGAAGGATGACAAAGGGTAGAGAATCTGACAGAGCCCCGCAGGCAGGAACAGAAATCACATCGACTTTGTTCAACGCAGAAATGAAACATCGACTTTAATCCCCATATGGTTAATTGACTCAGAATTCAGCAGAAAGGTGAGGTTTTGCAAGGAGGGGATGAGGAGAAAAATTTCTCAGTTCTCACTCTTTTCCTCATTTTTCCTTACATCTTGTTTTGACCTGGGTATTAAGTTGGTTTTGATTCCCCCAGGGTAGATAAGGTTTTTGTATGTTTTGTTTTTGCTTTTCGGTGTTTTTTTTTGTTTGTTTTAAAGTAGACAGGAATGAGGAGAGTTGAAGGGTAGGTAGGAGCTTTCAAAATTATCAGCCCCCCCATCTTTTTAAACAGTTCAAAGGTCATCTTAGTGCAATGGCAGTATTGTTTAAATCTATCTGAAGGACAACTGCCTGTGTCTTCCTCACAGGCAGGGCTGGGAACAAATGTAATGCTGAGATCTTGCAAGACTGACATATGATACACATATATGACAGGATTAGTGATTTCAAATAACATTTCTCTCCAATGATAACATTCTCATTGTGCAAAACTTGAAAAATTCCAAGAATTTTCAAGAAAAACAATACCCATTACCCCATCAATCAGAGATGACCTTATATTAACAACCTGACAGTTCTTTTCTTTTTCCTAAGCATGTAGGAAACAAAATTCGGAAATTCTGTATATACAATTTTAAATTGTGCTTTCTTCATAAGTATCTTTGTTCTTGGAAAACATGTTTTCTAATGGCCATACAATAATTCATCATATGGTTATATGATAGACTCTTACTATTGGACATTTAGAATGCTATGCTCTTTTAAGGAATGTTTCATTTTTGGAATAAGTAACATGTACATTAATACTAAATTTTCTTTTTAAGATTTTTTATTTATTTATTTATTTGACAGAGAGAGAGAGAGACAGACAGAGAGAGAGGGAACACAAGCAGGGGGAGGGGAGAGGGAGAAGCAGACTTCCCGCAGAGCAGGGAGCGCGATGCGGGGCTCGATCCCAGGATCCCAGGATCATGACCTGAGCCTAAGGCAGATGCTTAACGACTGAGCCACACAGGTGCCCCCATTAATACTAAATTTAAAGATCCAAAGAGACATGCAGTAAAAGAGAGTCTCTCTCTCATCCCCATCCTCTGGTCACTGCTTCCCCTCACTGGATGTAACCACTGCTACAGCTCCTGTGTGTCATTCCAGGAACATTCTAGGCCTATATTAATAAATATGCATATATTCTTTTTTCTTTCAAAAGTGGTAGGACAGTTCTGCACCTTTGCTTTTTTCGCTGATGATCAATCTTAAAGATTGTTGCAATTTATTTAACCAGTCCCCTAATGGTGGACATTTCCAATGTTTCCAAACTTCTGCTATTACAAACAATACTGCAGTATTCTTATACAGACAATTTTTGCATATCGAGGCACTCCAAGAAGGGGAACTGCTGGATCAAAGGGAATCTTTCTTTCTTTTTTTAAAAAATTTTATTTATTTTTTTAAGGATTTTATTTATTTATTTGACAGAGGAAGTGTGCACAAGCAGAAGGGAGGGGCAGAGGGAGAGGGAGAAGCAGGCTCCCCACTGAGCAAGGAGCCCAATGCGGGGCTTGATCCCAGGACCCTGAGATCATGACCTAAGCTGAAGGCAGACACTTAACCCACTGAGCCACCCAGGCACCCTTAAATTGTGTATTTTCTTTTTTTTTAAAGATTTTATTTATTTGACAGAGAGAGCACAAGCAGAAGGAGAGAGAAGAAGCAGGTTCCCTGCTGAGCAAGGAGCCCGATGTGGGACTCGATCCCAGAATCCTGGGATCATGACCTTGGCCGAAGGCAGCTGCTTAACCGACTGAGCCACCCAGGCGTCCCAAATTGTGTATTTTCTTTTAAGGTTTCAGGATATTATACTCACAAAGGCCTCCTTGCCTATGTTTTCTTTGAGTACTTTAATGGTTTCCCTTAATTTCATACCAATCTTTTATCCTACTAGAATCTTTTTTCAGACAGCTGCCCAATTGTCCCAAAACCATTTATTGAGTAACTCCTCTTTCTTTTTTTTTTTTTAAAGATTTTATTT